GATGGACAGAGAGCAAATCTCAGGCCCCAACACAATGGGGAGTCTCATAGTCTGGAACCTTCCCAGAAATGAGGAAAAATACCAAATCTACATACTTAAGAAGCCCAGTCAACTCCAAGCGGTATACGAAAAAGAAACCCACACCTTTTGTGATAAAATATAAAATGTTAAAAGCAGTCAGAGGGGAAAATATTACCTTAGGAAGACTAATAAGAATAACTGAAATCCTAACAGCAACAAGAATAATTGCATCAAATTCCAGTGGACCAAATGCTCCTGATACAGGCCAATGAGTTACATGTTTAAGCCCTACTGTGTTTTTTATTAGAAAGTATAGTTGACATACAATATTATGAGTTTCAAGTGTAAAGCATAGTTACTCTGAGGAATTGTACAAAGTGAAAGACTTTTGTAGGCAGAAGGGAGCAGGAGCAAGGAAGTTGTTGTAGGCAAAAAACTGGATTGGTAATTGCAAAGTTAGATTCTTTTAGGACATGGCAGGACATGGCAGGGTCTATCAGGCGATGACCTCACTAGTGCCGATCAGGCGATTCCTGGTCAACTGGTTTATGATTCCATTTCTGGGGGATCTGAAACTGTAATTAGGTTTGGTGATGTGGAGCTTAGCATGTGTGACTCCAATTTGGGCCTGTTTTTTTGTCTTAACAGATCTAGAACATAAGAATTTAGAGAGGTTGAAAGTAAAAGGCTAGAAAAGTTATACCATTCATCTCATAAGCATATCAATATCACATTTTTAAAAATGAAGGGTCACTTTATAAAGTTATTATAATATTAAATTACAAAATAATATAACATTACAGTACATATTATAATGTTAATATTTAATTATATTAAATTATAAATAATAATTATAAGAAATTCTAAGAAAGCAATTTAAAATGTGTATGTAAATGTTAATCAATAGCAGAGTGAATAAATTGTGATATCCTCGGGAAATGAAATATATACATGAAAGCATTTTATCTGAATGTGAAAATGAATGAACTTCAGTCACATGCCTAACCTGGATGAATTTTACAAGTATAATGTTAAGCAAAAGAAGCAAGTCAAAAGAATTTTAACATGATGATTCTATCATTTAGGAATGCATACATAGGCAATAAATCTGTAAATAAAAGCAAAGAAATAATTCCCATACATTCAAAGTAATAACTATTTCTGTAGGGTCAGGAAGAGGTTATTACTAGAAAGGGACATAGGGGGTTTTATGGAGTGCTAAAATTTTTTATTTCTTAACCTAGGTGATAATTATATGGATATTTGCTTTAAAATTATTTGTTAAGCCATTCATCTATGTCTTATACACTTTTTCAGTAAGTATATTACATCTCACAATTTTTAAAAATAAGAAGGCCATAGAAATTAATTACCAAAGAAATCAAACATGGATCAAGTGACAAGGACTGTGAGGTTAGAACATCTGAAGAAAGAGAGAAGACAGGCATGTTCTCACTGGGGTGAAAGTTTAAGTGGGTAAGGTCTAGTTTAAGTGGGTTAGGTCTTTAGTGATGAAGTCCTTGCCATGTTACTATTTTTCAAAGCACAACAACAAAACCAATTTTTAACATTCCTGTTCCATATTTAAAATATCAAGGCTTTCAAGAAAGCTTTAGAGTTTGAAACAATCCAATGAGAACTGAAAGTGTGAACAAAACTGGCCATGGGTACTTCCTCTCCTGAGCAAAGAGCATAGTTACAATCAGTGGAAAGTACCACCCCCCACCCCCTGAAGCCCAGTCCACTCCGAGACGTATAGTAACAACTCTCCCCCCAAGTTGTTCACTTTCCCTCCCAAAACTGTTGAGGGAAGAAGAGGAGACAGTTTTAAACCTCTGATGGCTTTTCTGTGTTGCTGTGTCCCTGGCTCCTCGTTTTTCTAGCATAGGAGTGACTGTTTGCAAAAAGGAGCTGAGCTACCCCACCTGACAAAGTGAGGGGAATAGAATTTGGGGAGAAAAGCCCAGAGGCAGATCTACAAAATGAAGAATCAAAAGATCTTTGGAAGGAAAAAAAGGCTGCCCCAAACTATTACATTGGGTAAGTGGTTGGGAGGTGGAGAAATCACTGAAAAAAGGGGGGGGGATGACTTCCATAGGCAAGTAGGTGTGAGTGGGAAGGGAAAACACTGACAACAAAAGCAGGAGGCCATGGGCCTGAGGCTCAGTGCCACAGGTGGTCTCATGAGCCAGTGCTGGACAAGAAGGGGTCAGTGGGAAGAAAAAAGGGGACATCTGTAATACTTTCAACAGTAAAGATAAATTTTTTTAAAAGAAAGAAAATAGATGTCCAAGAGGCGAGATGTCACTTTGGGTGCCCTCACATAAAGATGAGAATTACCCATGGAAACAGAGGGAAGAGAGCAAGGAGATCTAGGGCCTGAGGGTCTGGGACATTCCAGGTGGAATTCAGGTAGAGGATGGACCTTCTTTGATACTGGCTCCCACACACTTCACACCTGGGTATCTGGGGACGGGGAGGAGGAGGACAGGAGGGGACTCCCATGAAGGGGGACTGACTCCAAAGGGACTGAGAACCCAGCTACAATACTAGCAGGTTCCACTTTGCTCACAGCTCTTAGTGACAAACTTCTTTAGACATTTTGCGAGCCAGGGCAGTCTGGCCTGGGACTATACACATGTAATGAGAAGGCCCAGTTACTAACTTAAAAGGAAGGAGGTGTGATGGGGGAATGGCAACAATCAGCTTTCAGCTTTCCAACAAACAATTATGAGTCAAACCCAGATGACATCATCACCAAGCCTGAACTTCCTCAAACGTGCCAATAAAGACTTTCAACACCAATGAGACTTCCTTCCCCATTTGTTAGGCAGTCTGGCAGCCTCTGTAATCAGTACACAGTCAATGAGCAAGACCATGAAATGCTTCCTGAACTGGAACGTAAGTTACGAACTCTTAAGATCCATTCAACCAGATTTATAGAATTGGTTGGGAAGGCAGCTTGCAGGCATGACTTGGCAATTTCGGCAGCTTCTAAAGTCCAGGGTAGGTGCTCTCCCTGGAGTCTAGCAGAATGAAGAACTGCCCTAATCACTGCTGGGCTGGATTGTCCTGCAGGGCCATCTGAGCGGTGCAAGGTGGGGAGGGGGCCGTGAAGGGGGGCTGCTGTTTCTGGAGCCTCTCCCAGGCCTGAAGGTCTATGTCCCGCCGAGGGAAAGA